CGAGCTCGTATTATCCTGCCTGTAAATATATGTCCGTTCTTTCTTTATTCAAACTAATAAAGGGAACTTGGTTGTATGTACAAAGGTTATTTTTTGGAATTTGGTGTACACATATAGGGGAATTATGTACATCATTATATATTAAAATTGTCATTTGCACAGATCTGCCGTGTTGTGCTAACTCTATCTACCCTGCGTATTTTTTTTCTCTTGGTTATTCTTTTCATGTTTCCCATGTTTGCCGCAATACTGGTGTTGATTTCCTTTTTTTTTTGACATCACACCTGTCTCTCTTCGCTATTTGATATTTTTTGTGACGATGAACACCTCTCACAATAGACTACTGACAAATCTTGTCAGTAGCACACACACACACACACACCAAAGTATATATTATATTACATCTAAAGAATTTATTCCATCTCTCAATGCTATCACAGTGTATCTCTGTGCAAGTTTTGTTGATGACTTTTGTTTTCATTCTACTTCTTCTTCTTCTTGTTCCAGGGTAAAATCAAAGGTTACCTGGCACATCAACAGCAAAAATTGGTTGTCAGTAAACTGCAAGCATTCCCTCCATTGACAAGTGGTGTGGCTAGTAGTTTAAAGTGAGACAAAATCTCAGCATATGTATATATGCATCTCTTGTAAAAAAAAACCCTGTCTGTTTACTTATTATATACGGATATGATGTATAAAGTTTGTTATACGAAATTTTCGAAGATATATATTTATATATGTAAATAAATACTTTTTAAAAACACCTTGATAATTCATTCTATCTCAGATATTAGATACTGCTATGGTGGTACTAAAGCATATTCTGTAGTCACAATCGGGGATTATGCAAATGACGAATCGTTGAGTATTTTAGTTTATAAGCATTGTCGCTTGGTCAGCATAAACGAAGCTGACCGGCATTATATATTACATGCAATGTTTCCCGCGTGAAGTAGTATAATAAGGTGAGCAATATTGAGGTTAGGCGTCGGGTGCTAGGTAAGGAGGGGAAATCAGTCGACGAGATTGTGAAATTGCATCGACTGAGATGGTAAGGACACGTGTTACGTATGCCTAGTCATCGCCTTCCTCGATAATGGGCAGTGTTAGCTGACATAGGGCCAGGCTGGAAAAGAGTTAGCGGCGGTCAAACCAAAACATGGCACCAGTCAATGAAATCTACAACAATTAGTCTAGGCCACGTAGGAAGGTGTAGAATTCCTGATTGGGGTCCTCGGGACGGTAAAATCCAATGGTTGGAAACAATTGGAGGCATGGCTCAAAATCGTTCTCAATGACTGGCTCAGATACATCGACTCCTTGTGGCTTATGATTTCCAATGAAACTGTTTTGTTCTTCGTTATTACTATACCTTTGTCTCACACCTCTGTTTACTGTCTCTAATATGCATTTCTTCTACTTTCTTCTCTCTCTTTGTGTATTACAAGGAGGGTGTGTGGCGACTTGAACTGCCGCATATATGTGCAAATTTCTATGTCGAAAACCGACCGACATGCAAGACTAGAAGCTATGTTAGATTATCAGATGAAACGAACTGGAGAAGGTAAACTATGTATGCATCAGAGTGTATAAAAAGCCAACACACTCTAATTACAAAATAATTGAGCAAAGAATATCCTTTTCGATAATTTCACCTTCTGGCTCTACAATTATGTCTATATATGTTTATATACATAGAATATTCTAGAATAGTAGTCAATAACAATATTAGTGTTTTTTAAATAATATCGATTTGTAAAGTAAGATCACAATGCAATTACAGTTAATTAAAGATGCTTAAATTATAAAAATAATAAAGATATAGTAGCAAATAGAATATCAACTAAAATTAGGGAAATTTCCACAAAAATTGAGGATCATTCGAACCTAGATGGCCAAGGTAAGGACAATGTCTGAACTAGCTTCTTTTGGATGCATAAATTAGGCTTCTTAAGGTTGATCCCAACAGCCTCAGCAATATTTAGTAGTCGAACTGTTAAGGCGAAGTTGAGATTTGTTGGTATGCGGTAAATGACTTTGAAAGCTGCCTCGTTAACATCAATCTTGTGTTCTGTATCCACAAGATGAGATAGAATAGCGCTATGTGAATAGATTTTGTTTGTCCTTTACTTAACCACGCAGGGTGATGTTCGGAAATCCGACGAGACTTTAATTCAACTCATCCGTCATCTGTAAATGTTGGCTGAGTTAAGTATCTAATAAACCGAACAATAACTTTGAGTAATACATCGAAAAAGCTAAATAATAAAGTGAAACAGATAGTAGAGGCGTTGATGCTAAATAACTATCCTATAAATTTCATTGAGAAGACCATTGATCATAAGATAAGTAAAGAAGAATTTCAGCCGTCTATACCGTATATTCGGAAAGGACATCTGAAGCCCTATATAGGATTTCTAACAAAGCAGGATTTGGGATGGCTTCTTAGCCTACAAAAACCCTAGGCTAGAGGACTCTATTGATCCTATAAGACAAAATAATGTAATATTAGAATTTAGAACACAATATTCAGCGAAGAGATCTTTTCAACGAATTTATTATCAAGCTGTACAATCGTATATATATGGTTTTTAAGAAATTATATCCGGTGAGGGAATAAGGTCAAAGCTGTGAATACATGAAATAATAATAGTATGAAATGCAATTAAAATATTTGTGATTATAATCATAGTTTAATGTCAAGTGCCAAAGTAATTAATGTCGTATATAGAATAATACATAAGGTGTATAGATTTTGGAAAGGGGTACATAATTATAGGAGTAGTAGGCGAATATAAAATGTTACGTAACATGGTGTAAACTTGATAAGATAGAATTCAGTATTGTAAAATTAAAAATCAATAATTTTGGGTTTAGAATGACAAGTGGAAACAATTCAGAGTGAGAATAGTAATGATAATAATAATCGTAGTAATAAGGGAAAGGCACATAGAATAACTAAATAAATAAATGTCTATCCCTCTACGGCCAAGGCAGAAGTAGGGATTGTACATACTTCTTTTGTACACAAAGGTCTGGCTTAAAGTCATGAATTGCCAAGGCCTCAGCTGTCTTTAGAAGTCTGTAACGAAGAAAACGCAGCCAGCAAGTTAGCATGGGTTCGGCAGATGATCTTAAAATCATGGTCAGGGTTGACAGAAGTCGATCAGGTGTTCCAGAATAGAGCTTCTCCTTTGTAAAACCATGCTGGAATATGTTCTCATATCCATGTGGAAAGCGTCCTCTGACTATGGCCAATGTACCTTGCTCCACAAGAGCAGGTGGACTGATAGATGCACATATCAGAGCTTATCTTTTACAGAGATGGAGAACAACTTGCGGATGGTGGACGTCATTTGTAATTTTGCTGCAAAGAACGTTCCAAAGAAAACTTTATTCATGAACTTGGAATTCAAAGGTGATCAAAAATCGTCTCTCTAAAGCTGCCAGTAAGACGGAGAGAAAAGATGAAATGTATGTCGTTTGAATTCGGAAATCAAGTAAAGTGTAGACAAGGAAAGTACACGGTTGGACGCTGGTCAGCGTAACGCAAACTCCTTCCAAAGCTGGATAGACCATACACTGTCACCAGGAGACGTGATCCCGTTTATCCCATCAGAAGAGGAGATAAACAGAAACGTGTTTGTTATGGACCTGCCGCTAACTGATATGATCTTGTCGACAGCTGACATGACCGAGTGGACTGTTGTATGAGTATAATAATACTGAGGCAATGAACAAGTCAACTGATGTGCTAGATACACCTGTTCATCAGTGGTACCTTGGGCTTCACTGACCAATGTTAATATCAAAAGACAAAGTTTGGCCCGTGAGTGATAGGATGCAATTTTTATTAGGAAAAACACGTCAATCTGACAATGTCAGTTGGCATCACAAGATTACCAGTATTCATGTTATATGCTCAAAATAATGTGAAACGTGAACTTCACTTTAGCAGCAGTATTTGCGTTTCATGAACGTTCCTGGTGTCAGTCGATGATACTAAAAAATCACAGTTACTGACTGCCGTTTCGTAGACAGTCCGGTTATATATGTGCGAATCGTATCCGCCCACGCTAAGTCTGCTATGATTGGTTGTTGAGTTAGGCTTTGTCTCATGACCCCGATTCGGGAAGTAAACACTGACGTATAATGGTGTCTACCAATTTTGGCTAGCAGGCAGGTCTCTCACCACACTATTACCAGTAAGAGCCTTATACATCTTACTAGCTTTAGTCTCATAACTATGTCAATGTATATTCCCAAAAACAACTTTCTAACAAAGTGAAATGATTCACGTCCTTACCACCATCGAATAACCACATCTACAAAAACTCCACTAAATACAGTTGAGTGTACATCACCAAACGAGATGACGTATCGAGATAATACTTGGCGAACTGTTTTTTTTTTCAATCAACTCACTGGGTTATCACCACCTAATTTTGCAATCCATCACATCAATACACAACTTAATCATCACTCTACACCTTATATTGTTTCAATTATCTAGCTATCCAGCTACATTTTTGAGTCGTTATCTGTACACACACACACACGCGCCTACTTTTAAATCATCGACACTGCTTTAAATGATGTGTTTACCTATTATTATCGCACTTAAAGATTCCAGAGATTCTGCATATATATGTTAGAAACAAGTTTTCGTGCATCAGTTGAAATATTGTACCTGCACACTCCATTCCTTCCTGTAGGCGCATTGAGATTCATTAAACACAAATTATTGATAACTAGTATTGTTTGTATTTATTGCCTTGTTAAAAACAATGAACTACTAATGGTAGCCTATAATATTATTAATGATAATAATAATAATAATAAATAATGGTTCTGACCAATTTGACAGCAGTGATAGAAAACAGTACGTCGATTTGAAATTTAGAAAAAGTCGTGTCTGTATGTGTGTGTGTGTACAAAAATGATTACGTTATCTGCATAATAAGATGAAAGATTAAGTCATAGGAAATGAAGAAGCAGGAATAATAATAATAATATAGTAATAATATTAAAAACACAAATAAGCTTAGGCGACGAGAATGAACACGACGATGACACAGAGTGAATAAAAGTAAGAAAAAATGTGTGTTTTGTTTAAAAAAGGATAATGTTTCAAAAAAATATTATGTTATTTCTTCTACAAGAAAAAACAACCATTTTATTTGTTAATGGTAAATATACAATGAACATCGATGTTGTTGTCTAGTTGTGGATGTTGTTTTGCACTTCTTCATCCCCTCATAAATTTATATTTTGGATCGCCTATGTAATAATGACACATGACACCAAGAAAAAAACAAACAATCAAAATTCATAACAATTAATGGTATGTTTAAAAAATTACACATTCGCGTTGTTATAATTAAAAATAAGGCATATCTGTATGCAGACAATTAATTATGCTTTCATTTAAGTTTAAGATTCAGTATATCATGTTGGTTCATTAAATTAAACCAAAATGTTCGCACCTCTGAGGATTTCCATTATTTCCTGGATGGTGACAACCAGAGGAGTCCAGGAGGTGAATTTCGTCCCATTTGGAAGTGGACAGTTAGATGTATCTGCATCTTTAGTGAGCGATGATGTCTGAAACGGTGAGTTCTGCTAGACTTCAAATCCCAGTGGGAATACCACCATCACACTCATTGCGGATGCAAGTATATCCACCTGACGAACCCCAAAAGGATGAAATGCGTATCATGGATTCGATTCATTTGCACCAATTACAATCTAACAAAGATATTATTTTCAATCAGATCCTACGCAAACACTAATCTAGTACATATTAAAATTTTAACAAATGGTGGCGGCTAGTAGATACACTGACTGATGCTATCTGGCTTCAGCACAAAATCATGTATAGAAATGCACCGATTCAATTTGCCACACTTTATGTAATACACGAAGGGAGAAATAATAGCGGGAAAATAAGAGATTCAAAAGAGAACAACAATAAGCAAAACTACGAGGGAGAGAGACATAAAAGTAATATGGGAAAAACCGGATGGTTTAATGGATATGGATACATCACAAAACTCTTACACAACACTTTATGAGTTCGAGTGTCTTCACCAGTGTGCCATATACTTCCTCGGAGCTCCTCTAAATACCAAGCACTGCCTCAGCAACTCTCGTCCAACGGAATCGAATGTAGGCTTCAAGTCAAGAAATATGTCAATTATTGGACACACCTGTTAGTGTGCTTATGTGTTCCTGGTTCAAAGCCTGCCTGGGTTTCTCGTGATTGTTTCCTTCGAACACCACTTAATCTACGCATGACTCAACCGTGAAATTTAAACATCATATTGATCAAGTTCATCCTCTCAAAACTATCACACGAGGACTTGTTTGGCTTCTTGTGCACTGGAATAATCAACCACTTATACCAATTCAACGGGACCAATTCCGACATTGTGTATTACCTTAGTTAGCTCAGACAACAATATGTCACAACCTTTCTTAAACATATCTGGAGTTAGTGCATCATATCCTGCTGCTTTGCCTCATTACACACTACACAGACAGCCTTGTAACATCAAGTTACGCGTTGAAAGATGAGTCAGTTGAGTCTGATTAATTTAACAGTCACCATGACATACACATCCAAGGATAGAATACAACACTCACACAATGTCAACCGCAAGGGATGAGAGTTCACATCAAAACAACCAATAATCATATGAAAATCACGACAGATAGGAGTGGGTCATATTAAATGGTGCGCTGTCAAAAAGTCTGTCTGCCTATCGCGATGAAGACTCTTCACGAAACGACCACCACGGCGACACACCATCTCTGCAGCATTCACACAATCTGCTTCTTTTAACAATCACACGCTTTTTATATGCTGCTCGATCTCTTCAGTCACAATTTCCAAACGCTCTGTCCTGACTATTCTTAACTAGAACCAGACCACCGGGTTGTAGGTTGCTTCCCTTCATATCTAGCCGCTACATTCTTGCCTGCACAGCATTGGAAGGTGTATTTATGTAACCATTCCTTACACTCAGCTGCTGTCGCAGATATTTACCAATTTTAACACATATTACAGAAGCTGCTAGTACCAATCTAGGTATAGTAACAAGTTTCAGTGGTGCGACTCCAGATTTGACTGACAGTAGGGAACAGTGAGCTTAGCGAGAAACATCTTCCAGACGGATATATGCGACAGCACCATATACGAACCTGAAGCAGTAAACATCGTGGAATACGAATTTTACTCAAATAATTAATTTCCTCATACCACCTATTCCAGACGGCAAGATCACATTCTTCCAGCAGGTCTGCATCTCACTGTCATCTCCTTCTACAGGTATCTTGCAAAATTGATTTAAACAGAGAACAGCATTGGGGCTATGATTCCAACTGGGTCAAATACCGAAGTCACAAATGACAAAAGAGTCCTCCTAGTTAGCATTGTTCGAAAATCACGTGTTTGAAAACATACTATCACTGAAAACATTCCATTACGAGCTTTACCATCTTCGACGGACATGGATACGTGACTACCTGCGTCGTTAAACTAATTCTTATGAAACTATTCGAACATAACTAGCATTATTTTTTCTTTAGACAAGGTATAATTCCCCATAACACTTCCTCCAAGGATCTCATTGTATGGTCCCAGTAATGTCCACCAGCACCACCACCTTAAAAAAGTCTTTATAGAGAAAGATTCATTAGCTCCACCGAACCCTTTATCAATCGTCACATGTACCTATAGAACGCTAAAACATATAAGCACCATAATCTCTTCATTCTTCATGTCTGGTAGAACAACACCGTGCTGTAATTGACTCCACAATGATATCTGATCTGTTGTCGGTACAACTCCTCTCAATTGGGGTAATTCCTTTGCTGTCCATGCCTTCGACACAGTAACCTGAGGAATCTAGTGGAGAAACCTCCAGTTGTACCTGCCTGCAGGATAAAGTGGATTATGAGCCCAGTGTCTTAAGAGAGACTGTTTTTAGTTGTTCCTTCTAAACCGAATTCCCTTGGCAGATACTCTGCAACGAGCGATGCGTCTGACCCACTATCCAGAAATGCACCAGTTTGAACATTGATATAAGAATAAAACTTGTGCACTGTGGTAGAGTGTAATTCCATTATGGGTAAATTTTGTTTTGATAAAGTCTCACAGTGTCATACAGTAATGTTTACTGATGACGTTTCGAGCACAATTTATTGCTCATAATCATATCAAGGTGATATGATATGATTATGAGCAATAAATTGTGCTCGAAACGTCATCAGTAAACATTACTGTATAACACTGTGAGACTTTATCAAAACAAAATTTACCCATAATGGAATTACCAGTTTGAACAACGTTACCGTTATAATCTAGCTAAAACGGGTACTTATAGCGAACGCTACATCACTCGTCATAGTCATGTACAAGTTCATATAACTACACTGTAGGGGGTGGATGTGCACATCGGTTTTCGTATCCTCGGATAATACCTGTCCTCTGTGTAGCAATGTGTGCCGTCTCCAACCACAGCCTGCAGTCGTACAGGTCTTGGAGACCAACAGTTCTTTGTCATATGGTTCACCTTTAAACAGATGTTGCATAGTTTCCTCTTGGAATCGAAGTCTGAACGTTCATATATATATATATATAAATCATGAATCATTTTGTTTTACACATCAATACTGTTCAAAATAGATAGTTTTTTTGATGAAGTCACTCGTGTTTTAACCATAGCAGTGCCTGGACTTCATGTTGTCAATATGTGATATTGGGAATTAAGATCTGTAGGCAAATTTAAACCTACGACAAGAGCTAAAATCGTCAACTCTAAGTAGGCTGTTGTATCAGCAAAAACACACCAGAATCTATTTTACATGTAATTCTAACTACACATTAAAATCAAAAAGAAAATCGTTGCAAATTAGAAATTACTGGACAGGTGAAGATTGCATACACACGACACACACACACATGCACCTCAACATTCTATTCAGGATGAAGTCTCAAGATGAGAGATAACACATTGGGGGGGGGGGGGGCGATTGTTATTCAGTTACTACTAAGGTAAAAATTAAATGGCACATATTTTCCAACTGTTCTTTGTGGTAATACACGATGGTTGTTTTATGGTACAAATCGACAGCAGGCGAAAAACACTTATTATCAGATGTCAACTGAGGACTTAATTGGAAGGTTTCTCGAGATTCGTTGAAATTAATTCGTTCCTATACCAGTCGCAGGCAAATCACGTTAAGATAGACTTTCACAGTGTGACAGAATGACTTTTCATAGAAGAAGTGTCTACTGAACCACAGATACAGATATTCAAACATATGGATATAATAGCATACAGTGAAAAGAAAACACATTGTGAACTTACTTTTGTTGATGATTTTCTCTAGGCGATAGTTGATAACCCATTCCACCTCTACTGTCAATGCCTATACGACATCTCGCCTCAATGGTTTCATCATTCAATACAACATCTGGAATTCTCTTCACCGGTGGACTAATCTCACTATAAGCAGATGATGTTGTACTCTGTGAATTACATGAACTTTGTGTTGAAACCGATTCCATGGAAAGCCGTTTTGGTGGTGGTGAATTAGAATAACGTCGTTTTGTTCCTGATTGACGAGTTACGACTCCAGTTTGTTTGGTTTCGGTCTGTTGTTTTAAGTGAACATCAGGACTATTGATCCGATCACTTTTCCTAAATATGCAGGTGATGTAAATCAAGTATTGCGATTACAAGTAGATAGAAAGTAAAATAAACTTGTTTTATATACAGATATAAGGAAGACAGTTTATTTAAGTAATCTTATTTACTTCTGACTACTTTTAACAGGTTTCATCGAGAAAGTGCTTAGGATAGACTGTTTCAACTATTCCTCTCATTAGTCTTTCCAAAAGTAGATGGCTTGAACAATAATTCGCTCCAAAATGAATCAATTCGAGCACATTTGGTTGATAAGCTAGATGCTAAACGAAGGTCATATGCATCTAGACAGATGACTTAGTTCAACCACCTAAATATATCCTGTAGGAAGAATGATTAACAAAAGTGTTATGTATTCATAATTTTGCGTCCTGGAGCTCCGAAGAAGTTGAGCAGTTAGAAATGTCAACGCCGAGAATCGTACATCCCGACTTAATTATATTCCTATTAGATAGTTAGAGGGGTGTTTAAGTGTTTTGACTGATTCAACCGATCAATCAGTAAAATACAAACTGTAGGAAGAATGATTATTAAAATGCTGTATACTCTTGATTTTGCGGCATCTTAAAATAACTCGTAATTTGCGGGCTAAGACAAGTACAGGTCAGGATCGAAGATTAGGGTCATTGGGATGAGGCAGAACATTCTGCCATAATTCGACTGACAAATGCAGAGTCTTCTGAACACCTTGAGCCTCCCATCAAATGTGAGATGATGTTGCAGGACTGGACTACATCGCCTCCTAGCTTAGAGATATGGAGTGAAATGGTTGAATATACTGACTACTTCAGTTATTTGGGAAGTTGCATCTCTGCTTAGGGGCTGATTGTTGACGAAATCTAGGCACGGATACAAAAGACTCGTGTGGAATTTGTTATCTCAGGTGCAGATGTGATATACGGCTATCAATCAAAGGACATGTGTACTGCGCAACAGTTTGCTCCATCCTCCTTTATGGCTGTGAGACATGGCCATTGAGAGTGGAAGATAAAGAAGGTCTATCTGTCCGTGTACACAGATGTTTGTGTTCTATCTACCGTGTTAAGTGGTATAATATGGTAATACTCAGACTAAGCACAGTCTTAGGTGAGGAAGTTAAGTCAATTGATGAGGTTATGAAGCTAAATCGGTAGAGGTGACTGGGACATGGTGTTGCGCGTGTTTAGCCATCGCCCTCCTCGACAAGCAGCGTTAGCTGACATAAGATTAAGTTGGAAGGAGGTTAGGGGTGATCAAACCAAAACCTGACATCATGCAGTCTTTGACAATCGGCTTGAACCATGTAGGGAGGTGTGGACTACCTAATTGGGGTCCTCAGGACGCTAAGGACTGGCAGCTGAAGAATATAGATAATATGGTGACATGGCCCTTTTTTCTGTCCATTTAATTGTAGACAGATATGCACACAGGCTAGGGAGCGATCGGAGTCTACGCATTTATTCTACAGACTATCCCCATAGATAGCTTATCACCATGTGGTATATTTCAGTCCATTGTTCATTTGATGATGGAGGTCGCTAGGTTACAGGATGTCCCTATTAGTGTTCGAAGTTAGTGCTAACCAAGAACATATGATTATCTGAACAGAAGTGAAGAAGACAGTCACTAATATCGGTTCATCCGCATGAAACTCTATAGATGCTGCCAATGTTTTTTTCTGACTAGCACATTGAATTCGCCTGCAAGATCGACAATATGTGATCAATTAGCAGTGAAACTAAACGCCTTCTGATAGGACTCACCTTTTACTTAGTCCAAACTACAGTCGGTTGGGGCGTAAGCGGAGTTTATAAAAAGACAATAACGGGTGTCGCAATTTCTCCTTCTTCTAAATGATCTGGACAGCACACGCACGACTATCCACTGGGTTCCGGTCAAGTGGAGATTTTCCTGTTTAAGCAATCAACGATATTCCTACACCTGCCAGAGTTCGCGAACTAACCGACGAGTCTCTTAACATTAGTAAGGTAAATTTCGCAGATTCATTCTGTTGGCCAGGTGGGATTAAGTGAATAACCAGACTTAGGTCCGGTTACAATGAGAGCTCGAAGATAATCCAGTCACTGAAATCTGATCTAATGCCCCATGGATTCCAACTCCTGCCAATTAGCGATATACATAGCGCAACCTCCAGCCAATGTCATCGGCGAGTAACTGTCCTCATGCTTGGACTAGTGGACCCCACTGGTCACTGCTCCTCACCAGAGGTCGCCAGATAAATTCCTGTATGGAGCAAATTGTTAATAACAGCACCAGAACAACACACCAACCTGTACATTGTTACATCAATATATCTCGTTTTATTCAGTGACTGACTGACTCACCTCTCATGAACAGGAGAAGTTTGACGTAAAACTTCGACGTCATTAAAGATAACAGCTGAACCACCACCAGCTGTAGGAATAATAGCACCCTGTGTAGAAAAATTGAGAAAGATGATAATAAACAACTTCTGAAAGCACTGAGTAGCAGTTTTAGTTAGAAAGGATGGGGTAAGCTACTGTAAATAAACAATTTCGCCACTAAGCGACAACGACTATACAACTTATACTACGCTTTCAAATAGAAGTTTTTTTTTCTGTCCTATGGAATGCATACTACCTTCTCACAATTTAGGTCTATAACCAATGACATCCACAAGCAAACATTCAGTACTCTTGGTTTACCAAACAATATACTTAGATAATAGCATCTGGCTGTTCATAAACAACAAATGCAAAACCAATGTTTATTGTAATACACATTGGTTGATCACATTTGCTAATTCTGGATAGATTAACAAACTCTCATAAAGGTTTTTTTTATTTTTGTGAAGATTCTTATAAATAATTGTTTTCATAATGATATAATCACACAGCAACATATGGCCAGAACTTCGTGTAAAGAAAAAATTGCACTATCTCTTTCGAACAGTAACTATGAAAACCGGGTTTGAAGTTATGGATGCCCGGCGCTCTTCACCGGGTTGACTGTCCATTAGATGACAGTCTAGGGGAGATGGCTAAACCCTGATTCCATACCTCCAACGACTGGCGTATGAAGCTCACTGGAGCTCACCGGCAGACGTTTGGACAAAGGGCTTGTTGGATGTCCTGGATGTCTGGCCCCATTCAAAAAGGCGTATGAACCGAACTCCGGTCACCGGCTGCCAATGGATAGTGGACACCCTACTCCACTCCTACTGCCTTGTAGGTCACACTTGGTTATGTAAAGGCTAGAGCTGCACTCTCAAACAAAAGGCAGAGCGATTCTGCGGACATCACTCGTACAAAATTCCCATGAAACTTCATGAACACTCTTACAAACGAGTGCCTGGGGCTACAAACCGTCTACGGACTCCGTCTGTGGAACAAGAATTGGATAACCCTGTCGCAAAACCTTGCATCAGATCGCCGCGCCTGGGCAGCGATGATTCGAGATGTTCATGAAGCCGGCTCATCCTCCCGTAGGAGATAGCCGAAGTAAAGTAAGTTATGGAGTTACATTTTACGCGATTATGGAGAATAAACAATATCTGAGACATTATCCAGTAAGAAAAACAGTATTTCACAGTCTGCTCTATGCAAGAAACAAACTAATATGGAATTAAAACATTACGGTTTAACCAATGAGAATAGTAACACTCGAAGAACAACAGAGTGATTGTATATATTAGTCATAATGTATAAAAATTCCGAAAATATGTAAAGTACTGATTGGAAAAATCTTATTCTATGAGATTCTCTTACGTCAGTCATTCTCAACAGACTCATGATCTACTTTCATCCACCAATATTATTGTGGCGTGTGCTACTGATACGATTTGTCAGTAGTATGTAAAGAGACGTTCATCGGCATGAAAACATCAAATAGCAGGGTGACAGATTTGATGTCAGAGAAAGCAAATGATACTGAGTTGCAGAGATAAATGGGCGACGTGAAAGGAACATAATATGAAGTAGCACAACACGGAAGATCTGTGCAAATGGTGACTTGAATATTGTGTGTACATAATTTCGATACTAGGAGATAACAAATCCCAAATAAACATTCCTTTATCGAGCCTCTGGTCTTATATCCTTACAATTAGTGTCACTGCCTCCAGACAATGAGGATTCCATGACCGGCTGCTTTCGAGGAAGGATACAGTTGGCGATACAGCAGTTCCGTGCCGCGAAGCTGAGACCCAATAGTGTGTGGTGAAGCTGGGAATCTACCACGTCGCGCAATCTCCACATTGGATGAAGAGTCAGAGTCGCAGCTATTGGCGTCCCAGTTCATCGAGTGTCTCAGATGACATTTCTCAGCAACTTAAACTGGTTGACGCTGCACAACCCATGGACATCGGTGAGCTAGAGGTGACCAGACAGGTGTTGAGCACAACGGTAGCCGCAATAGAGCCACCGAAATTGAACGAATAGGAACAGAAAGTTGAAGATTTGCAGTATGAAGTGGTGGCACTTCGAATGATACAGAGCGTCAGACCGTGTCCATTGACAATTCAAACAGTAGATGGATACGTGTCAGTATCTGACTTCAAGCAGTGTAGGAGACAGGATTCACACTAGTGTAAAACTAGTTAATTAGGATTTACGAATAATCTGTATGATATATGAAACTGATGCAGACAGTATAAAAAAACAACTGATTTCAAATCTATCTTATTCATCCATTTGTTACTGTTTCTTTTGTACCGAACTTTATACTACTTATTGCTTGCCAGTAGCAAGAATTCTGATTTTGTTTTCCATGCCGCTACTTAGTAATTATAATTCATTTCCATAGAAATTTATCTCATTCTATGTGTTAACATTCTACTTGATATTCTCTTCGTTAAACGAAATCTACTGAGCACCTGTACTATATTTCCCACCCTCTCTCGAGAATTGTTTATTTAAGTCTAGTTCTCTCGACCTGCATATTTAGGTGTCATGTATTACTGACCACGCGCTATTAATTCATACAGCTTTGCTGCTTTTCTCATAACTGCGCGTTGACAGTGCCTTTTACAGCACTCAGTCTGCATGAGCCAAAGTAATAGGTTTGTAAATTCTATTGATCATTCTTACACCCAATAGGGTACTGTGTTTCCAATTTTTACGCATAAGTCAAATCAAGATACCCACAATCAGCATAATGATAATTCGACGCTAAAACTCTAATCTACAACCTGATTTAATTATAATCGGGTTCCATAATCATTGTGATAATTCAACATGATATAATAAATAGCATTATTAACTGTGCGTCAAAGGATAGTTGTCAGTCCCCTGTACAAGGTCGGATAGGGTAACTGTTGCCCACTCTCCGGAGAAATGAATCGTCCGCTACTTTCGGGCGGCTATTTTAGTGTCGGTGGCACAGCGGGAGAGTGCTTGCCACACACGCATGTGGTTCGAGGTGCGATCCCTTGCCAAAGCATACTGCTTTACCTAACCAAGCCAGTAGTAAGACTGGTAAAGAGGGAAGGTGGGGCGTGAGGCTAGCTACCTCATCCCGTAAAAATGAACACCACTGCTACCGACACTTCAAAGCTCTACGTTGAAGCTCTATGTTTCACTGGGAACGTAATGGAATAAACATAAAAAATTTAAAACAATTATTAGTTAGTCAAAACTCACCTTAAATAATTTAGTTTCGACATTCCCATCTGAATCAGCCTCTTGATGATGTAGAAGATAATTATCCGCATTCAGAGTGTCCTTCAATTCAACACGAGTTACAGATTTTCGATGTTTTAAATTCGGTGTAAACACTGTACCTAACGGAGTAGTATTCACTTCTTGATGTTCTAACCAACGTCCATTGTCTGCACCAACTGATCGAGATCGACGATGTCGTGGGTTGAATGCAGGAGCAGCACGTCGTTCAACTGGTTTACATGGAGTTACTCCGTATCGGTCCTCAATTCTTTTAAAGTTAGGACGCACTGCTGATCTAGCTTCAGCTTGCTGTTGGGCTAATCGGGATTCCCATTGTTTTGACAGTGTACTAACTAAATTCTATTTTTTTTCAAAAGTTAATTAAAGGTGTATTCACGTTAGTTCATAAAATGGTTGAAGGAGCATAATAATAGAAATACACATCTAGCTGTATCATTTTCTAAACACAATCAAATATTTAAGAAATAAATGGCTTATCATAAAAGCACAACAAATTAGATAACTCATCTGTTACACGAAATTGTACAACAAAACCAAATCGATGGGAAATATTTGCAGGATTTAGGGTGAATACATATTGTGGTAATTTCGCTGATGTGAATGTGGTTCACGCAGTTAAGCAACGCAGTTAAGCACTCAACTCACAGTCAGTCGGTCGTGTTTGAATCTCGCTCTACTTATATTTCAGCCTGAGTTACTTGGAAAATGGTGTCAACTTCCAACAATATATGTGGCTCACAGCCAAGTTTATGCATTATAAGCGCCAGGTAACTGAGAAATAATATGAAGTCAGGGCTTTCATATGGTTCCGAAACATGACGCGTATGTCACCAAAAGCATTTCTAACAAGTTAGTGCACAGTTTTATCGACAGCTTTATACTGAAGATCAGATTACCACTCAGAAAGCATAGGCAACAAAGAACTCCGTTAGTGAATCAGACGACAGTTACACGGGAGGGAATTGAGATGAATTGGAAATACACTTGAGGAGACTTCCAAATGGCAGAAAGAAAGCCATTTACAAGAACCCCAATAGGCAGGGACGAGTTGGGTGTGGGTTCAAGGCTGCCATGTAGACCAAATGAAGTCGGAGTCAACTAACTTAACAACTAACCAACAGATTTCGCTGATTTCTTAACTGAAATCTTAATGTCACCTCTCTACATATTCCCTTGAGCATTGTAGAAATTTAAAATCCTTCTAAACGAAATTGTGATCATATGGACTGACGTGTACTGAAATAAATGGCGTGGTCCAACCAAAACCTACCATAAGTTCATGAAAACGGCGACCAGTCCAAAACTCGGGGGGGGGGGTGCTACCAAAATGACCCAAAATAATACTGCATCTTATTTCTAATGTTCACATTGTTTCAATTTGGGAAAAATGATCTCTAATGGTATAGTTTATTTACTCTCACGAGTGTTTGAAATGTTTTCTACTGAAGATTCACAAGTATCTACTCAACTTGAGAAAAAGCATCATCCTGGGTGGTAGCGTATCCAATACGTGAAACAATTGTTCCTGGCATTTTTAGTACAAACTCCCACTCCCCAGGAAATAATCATTCAATTAAGTTTTTCGGTAGCGAAACCTACTCGTGCACTTTTTCAAATTGGTTTTCAAACAAATATCATGCACTTCTCAAAGGAGATAAAGAAGAAATAGCATAGAGGATTGGTTCACGCTTCAGGTGAAACGGCATTATGTTACGTATTCTCCTATCAGTTAATATTTTACCTGAAGATGTCGGACGGAGAAAATATTGTGCAATTACTAGGTTGTTAGTAAAATAATTGTCTCTTTTAATATCTCCTATTTGTAATCTATGGCGACACTATCTTAATTAATTTGTGCGTCGGTGGCACAGTGGTTAGGACTCTTGCCGACCATACACATGGTCCGGGGTTCGATCTCCTGCCGACACACACCTGATATCAATGGTCGGCCTGCAAAATTTGGGCTACCGATATCACATGCTGAAAATTCCATACTTGTACCAAAAATACTATGTGGAATCAAGCTGTAATCAAAAAATATTTTAAAAAATAAACTGACAATCTTTCCTACTAATCTGATTAGTTACAATTTCTTGGTATATACGTATGACTTCACTTTCACTACAAATACTAAATAAGAACTGCCAATAACAATCCTGTAATATTATTTTTATAATATTTTAGGTTATTCGATAAAATTAGATGCAATATTATACCAAATGTTCAGAATCCCACACTGTATCATTAGTACTGTTTTGAAATAAAGTAAATTATTACTATTATTATTAAAAATAAATCCCACTGATAATTCTGTACACTTTATCAACACTGTCCACAATAAAGCTACTATTATAATCATTACGATAAAGCAATAAGAAGACGTAATTTGTCTGAATCGTGTCATGTGTATTTGCGCAACACATTTCGAACAATCTGATCAACCACAGACTTCTCATAGGAATACATATTAAATTAATAAAGACTTCAGAGGTGAGAAAATAGACTTGGGTCAAGTTAAAAGAATATATTCAATATAATAAAGCTTTTCGTATTTCCCAATGAATGAAAAACAAAACGATATTGTTTTTACTGACGTTTCGCTATTTAATGCTAGTAGCTTTATCAAAGTATTATTAAACCGGAATTTACAAAATCTCAGCATATATATAACAAAGAGTTAAGGGGTGAGAAAATAGACTTAGGTCAAGTTAAAAGGACATATCGAAAGTTAAAATACCAATGAAGATCACTAAACCAAATAACAAAGGTAATAGTACATCTGTTATGGTATCAAAATAAAGTTTACTAACTTGATCATCGTTCGTTAGTCTGGGGTCATTTTTCGTTGTCAAGTTGGTCATTTGGTAAAGATAACAAAATCAAGTGTATATTGTTGGGTTTGATCAGTGTTTAAGATTATAAAGGCAGCGTGTGTTTACATAGTGAACTTGCATATCACATTCGTGTTGATTTTGTCACTTCATGGGGGAGGGAGGTGTTGTAACCAGGTCAGATTCTGTTTAAGTCCATCATTCCTATTCAGGCAATTTGGATTCCACTTGATATGAAGTGCTTCTGATATTAGACGTTCTTTATCATTTCTGAAGCTTTTCTGGATTATAAATTTATATTTGTAATATCTCAGCGAAATTGAAATGATTAATTCCAACGTTTCGTTCGGCAATCTGGTCCGAACTTCTTCAGGGAAATTAATCGAATTAAAATAACAGAGGTTTATATATAAAAGGAACAACTCATGTTTTTAAACTTTGTCCAATCATGAGTCATGCAACAGTCATCAACATGTATAAGAAATAAATAAATAAAATAGTATGTTTATATATAAAAGTAGATCTCTTGTTTTTAAATTGTTTGTCCAGTCATGTGAATCAAGAAACAACTATCAATAGGTATAGTAAACAAAAAAAAACAAAATTTTAATATGAACTGTGATCAAAATTTGACCTCAGACTTTCAAAATTAGTCTACTTTTGTTAAAATATATGTGTATATGCAGTATCAATGGTGTGTGTGTATGTGTGTGTGTGAACAGTCATAAAACATTTGTTATTCTCATATGAGCTGTGATCAAGATTTGACCGGATAGTTACAAAATAATTGAGATGTTTTTTTACAAATATGATATAATTTCATAAATTTGTTATTCTCTCCATAAGAAGATGTAGACAATCGGGAATTTGATCAAGTGTGACTAGTTGTTGATATATATCCAATTTATTTATTAGTCAGGATTTGCCATGCATCAGCTAAGATCACACCTTCACGTCTGTTCAAACTGTTGGGATTCACCCATATATGTAGGGCTTCTGCAGTCAGTCTTTCTTTATATGAACCAAAACCTTTCTGTAAAACCTTAGTCTTATCAAAGTCGATTTCGTGTCCCGTTTCTATCGAGTGCAGTGCAATCGCTGAGTTGTTTTCTAGCTTCTTCAAGTCTGCAGAGGTCTTTGGAACCACCTTTAGACATTGTTTATGCTCTTCACATTTTAAATATCTATTTATGAAGGTTTTTGGATAATTATTTGATTCAAGAGTGGATTGAACCAATTTTAATTCCTTGCTAATATCTTCCTCCTCAGTAACTAGACGTTTGGCTCTGTTGATCAGATTCTTGGCCACAGTTACTTTGGTGGTAAATGGGTGAGCTGAATGGTAATCTAGGTATCTATCCGAATTTGTCGGCTTTCTGAAAATGTTTATTTTAAATTTTCCATCTAATTTTCTTTTTACTAAACAGTCCAGGAACGCCAACTCATTCTCATCGGATTCAACCTCTTTGGAGAACTTGATAGTTTCTGACATATTGTTTATTAAGTGAAACAGTTCATTTAACAAACTACGTTTGATTATGATGAAGGTATCATCTACGTATCTTAACCACATCTTTGGGGGACTAGGGCATCTCATAATTGCATTTGTTTCTAATGAGTGCATAAACAGATTGGCGACTAGCGGAGATACTGGTGATCCCATAGCAATGCCTCCTGTTTGACGATAAAGAACCCCTCTAAACGTAAATAACGTGGATCGAAGACACAATTCTAATACCTTCATAATTTCGTCGGGGTTTAAAGGACAACGACCACTGAGTTCGTCGTCAGCACTAAGTAAATTATAAATAATACTTAAAGAATCATTAACGGGAACATTCGTGAATAATGAATAAACATCGAAACTTGCCATTATTTCATCTTCTTCAATATTAGTCAAGTTTATTTTCCTCTTAAATTCATACGAATTCTTCACTCTATGCTCCACTTTCATTTCATATGGACTAAGAATTCGATAAATGTATTTAGAGAGTTTGTAAGTTGGAGAATTAGTAAAATCCACTACTGGACGTAATGGAACATCTGATTTGTGTATTTTTGGTAAACCATAAAATCTACAGGGGCTGCAACTTTTTGGAGCCAGAGTAAACCAAAGTGATACACCGAGCTTCTCTTTCATTGACTGTAACATTTTGCTTGTTTCAGCCTTCAGCTTATTTAATGTTGCTCTTGATTTATTCACGTTGAATTTTTCATAAGGACCGTCATTAAGATGATCAATGGCCTTCTTTTCGTAATCTGCAGTATTCATGACAACCGTGATATTGCCTTTATCTGCTCTTGTGATTATAATTGATTTATCTTGCTGTAGGTTTTTTAATGCCAGTTGCTCGTTTTTATTTATATTCGGCGCATTTGGCTTCTGGTTCAGTAGTACTGCTGCAATTTTGTGTCTTATGACGTTTGCCTCTTCGGCTGTCACTGAATTTAACGACGGTTCAATTGCTGGAACTACTTCAAAGGCTGATAAACGCCTTTTGTTTAAATTAAAATTAAGTCCCTTTTTAAGGAGGGATAGTTCATAATCTGATAAATTTCTGTCAGAGAGATTGACCACCACTTTGTTCGTATCCAGAGAGTTATGACTAGACGGATTGTCAAATCGATGGTGTTTAGGATTAATGTTCAGTTGAAGTAACCTGTCGAACTTTTTGATTTGTCTTCTTTTTGAAGATTGAAGATAAAATTCTTCTTTAAACTTAAATATGTTTTCAATGAGTCTTCATATCTGATGTATTTATTTAATTATTATACATGTTGATGACTGTTGAATGACTCATTGAAAACATATTTAAGTTTAAAGAAGAATTTTATCTTCAATCTTCAAAAAGAAGACAAATCAAAAAGTTCGACAGGTTACTTCAACTGAACATTAATCCTAAACACCATCGATTTGACAATCCGTCTAGTCATAACTCTCTGGATACGAACAAAGTGGTGGTCAATCTCTCTGACAGAAATTTATCAGATTATGAACTATCCCTCCTTAAAAAGGGACTTAATTTTAATTTAAACAAAAGGCGTTTATCAGCCTTTGAAGTAGTTCCAGCAATTGAACCGTCGTTAAATTCAGTGACAGCCGAAGAGGCAAACGTCATAAGACACAAAATTGCAGCAGTACTACTGAACCAGAAGCCAAATGCGCCGAATATAAATAAAAACGAGCAACTGGCATTAAAAAACCTACAGCAAGATAAATCAATTATAATCACAAGAGCAGATAAAGGCAATATCACGGTTGTCATGAATACTGCAGATTACGAAAAGAAGGCCATTGATCATCTTAATGACGGTCCTTATGAAAAATTCAACGTGAATAAATCAAGAGCAACATTAAATAAGCTGAAGGCTGAAACAAGCAAAATGTTACAGTCAATGAAAGAGAAGCTCGGTGTATCACTTTGGTTTACTCTGGCTCCAAAAAGTTGCAGCCCCTGTAGATTTTATGGTTTACCAAAAATACACAAATCAGATGTTCCATTACGTCCAGTAGTGGATTTTACTAATTCTCCAACTTACAAACTCTCTAAATACATTTATCGAATTCTTAGTCCATATGAAATGAAAGTGGAGCATAGAGTGAAGAATTCGTATGAATTTAAGAGGAAAATAAACTTGACTAATATTGAAGAAGATGAAATAATGGCAAGTTTCGATGTTTATTCATTATTCACGAATGTTCCCGTTAATGATTCTTTAAGTATTATTTATAATTTACTTTGTGCTGACGACGAACTCAGTGGTCGTTGTCCTTTAAACCCCGACGAAATTATGAAGGTATTAGAATTGTGTCTTCGATCCACGTTATTTACGTTTAGAGGGGTTCTTTATCGTCAAACAGGAGGCATTGCTATGGGATCACCAGTATCTCCGCTAGTCGCCAATCTGTTTATGCACTCATTAGAAACAAATGCAATTATGAGATGCCCTAGTCCCCCAAAGATGTGGTTAAGATACGTAGATGATACCTTCATCATAATCAAACGTAGTTTGTTAAATGAACTGTTTCACTTAATAAACAATATGTCAGAAACTATCAAGTTCTCCAAAGAGGTTGAATCCGATGAGAATGAGTTGGCGTTCCTGGACTGTTTAGTAAAAAGAAAATTAGATGGAAAATTTAAAATAAACATTTTCAGAAAGCCGACAAATTCGGATAGATACCTAGATTACCATTCAGCTCACCCATTTACCACCAAAGTAACTGTGGCCAAGAATCTGATCAACAGAGCCAAACGTCTAGTTACTGAGGAGGAAGATATTAGCAAGGAATTAAAATTGGTTCAATCCACTCTTGAATCAAATAATTATCCAAAAACCTTCATAAATAGATATTTAAAATGTGAAGGGCATAAACAATGTCTAAAGGTGGTTCCAAAGACCTCTGCAGACTTGAAGAAGCTAGAAAACAACTCAGCGATTGCACTGCACTCGATAGAAACGGGACACGAAATCGACTTTGATAAGACTAAGGTTTTACAGAAAGGTTTTGGTTCATATAAAGAAAGACTGACTGCAGAAGCCCTACATATATGGGTGAATCCCAACAGTTTGAACAGACGTGAAGGTGTGATCTTAGCTGATGCATGGCAAATCCTGACTAATAAATAAATTGGATATATATCAACAACTAGTCACACTTGATCAAATTCCCGATTGTCTACGTCTTCTTATGGAGAGAATAACAAATTTATGAAATTATATTATATTTGTAAAAAAACATCTCAATTATTTTGTAACTATCCGGTCAAATCTTGATCACAGCTCATATGAGAATAACAAATGTTTTATGACTGTTCACACACATACACACACACACACACACACCATTGATACTGCATATACACATATATTTCAACAAAAGTAGACTAATTTTGAAAGTCTGAGGTCAAATTTTGATCACAGTTCATATTAAAATTTTGTTTTTTTTGTTTACTATACCTATTGATAGTTGTTTCTTGATTCACATGACTGGACAAACAATTTAAAAACAAGAGATCTACTTTTATATATAAACATACTATTTTATTTATTTATTTCTTATACATGTTGATGACTGTTGCATGACTCATGATTGGACAAAGTTTAAAAACATGAGTTGTTCCTTTTATATATAAACCTCTGTTATTTTAATTCGATTAATTTCCCTGAAGAAGTTCGGACCAGATTGCCGAACGAAACGTTGGAATTAATCATTTCAATTTCGCTGAGATATTACAAATATAAATTTATAATCCAGAAAAGCTTCAGAAATGATAAAGAACGTCTAATATCAGAAGCACTTCATATCAAGTGGAATCTAAATTACCTGAATAGGAATGATGGACTTAAACAGAATCTGACCTGGTTACAACACCTCCCTCCCCCATGAAGTGACAAAATCAACACGAATGTGATATGCAAGTTCACTATGTAAACACACGCTGCCTTTATAATCTTAAACACTGATCAAACCCAACAATATACACTTGATTTTGTTATCTTTACCAAATGACCAACTTGACAACGAAAAATGACCCCAGACTAACGAACGATGATCAAGTTAGTAAACTTTATTTTGATACCATAACAGATGTACTATTACCTTTGTTATTTGGTTTAGTGATCTTCATTGGTATTTTAACTTTCGATATGTCCTTTTAACTTGACCTAAGTCTATTTTCTCACCCCTTAACTCTTTGTTATATATATGCTGAGATTTTGTAAATTCCGGTTTAATAATACTTTGATAAAGCTACTAGCATTAAATAGCGAAACGTCAGTAAAAACAATATCGTTTTGTTTTTCATTCATTGGGAAATACAAAAACCTTTATTAAAATTCTTATTGCTTTATCTAAATTGAGAAAGGGAACTAATTATAATTATTAAGTTATTGACGGTTGGTTTGAGCCACATATGAAGACCGTCGAAAGTTTAAGAACCGATGCCTTGAGACTGTTTGCCGTATGGTTCAAAATCATTCTTAGTAAAATGGATGCATTCACTCTTTATGATTCCCTAGATTAATTGAATACTCGTTAGTTCTAATGCAGTTATTCTTTTTCCCACATATTTCCCTGCATTATGGTTTCTTTGAATTTTATTGTTTCCTTACATTTTATGTACTTTTGTAAAGTGTGACGACTTGAAGTGTTACAGCTCTGTGCCTAGTTTTACATCGAAAACTCATTTCAGTTCAGCTCATGTCAAAAAAATCTGTGGACAAAAAAGCGTAACACTTGGTGTTTACTAACAAATCACGCTCAGTGGTGAACATTAAAACACTTTTCTGTCGTTTATCTCATTTCATATTTGCCATATTTTGCTTATTCTGATGTTACATATTTTGACCTATATAAACATCACCCGCTTTTACAGATCAAACGTTCAACTCACTTTTTCTGTCAGTAAAAAGATAAATTAAATAATCACTTACTTTGACAGGTTTGGGATTGTTCGGTGTAGTAGTTGTAGTGGTAGTAACCTCTGCATAAGTAGGTGTCTCGTTCACCAATGGAGACTCAGGGATGTAAGATTTCAGTTGAAGAAGTAATGCTTCTGTAGAAGCACATGCCCGCTTTTTAAGATCTAATCGTCGCTTAACTAAAGCTCGTAACGGTCTTGTATCCATCACTTTCAAAAATTCACGTATATATCTTGGCAATCTTTCTGATTCAGGTGCTGAATCTTGTTCACTTTCACAAGTAGACGGGTCACAATTCTCTTGTTCCGAGTCACTATAATCAGATATCTCGGGATCTGAATCCAACCCATTGACGTCTTTAGTCATTTTGTCAATAGACGCGGTGATTTCATCATCCAAGTGTTCGATTTCATTGAAAATTTGCGTTGCTTCATCATCGATATCCTGTAGATAAAAAGAGTCAAAAAATAAGAACGATTACAACAACATTAGTTACCTTCTGATAGAATCATTCACAACTTGAATGACACAAGTTTCAATCTCGGATGACGATTGACGTTTTTCCTGTTCAAGATTATTAGTCTCTTAACCATCTATAAGTATATAGGAATCCGCAATGAAGAGGACTGACTGACTGGTTTCAACATAGAACTTAGCACAGGTGTGCAGCAATTCGAGTTGCCACACTCCATGTAGCATACACAGCAAGAGAAGAGAGTAGACAGAGATTTAAAAGAGATAATAAACAGAAGTGAGGCAAAAAGAATAGTTACACGGAAGAACAATAGAATTTTACTGGATGTGATAAATCACAAACATTGAACGCATCTGCGCCATTAAAAACGACTTTGAGCCAACTGTCTCCAGGCCTTGGCTTTTACCATTCTGAAGACCCAAACCAGGAAATCTACACCTCCCGACTTAGCTTCAACTAAATGTTATGGGTAATTAAGAAGCAGATTACTTCTCATATTATTGGGTTGTCAGAACTAACACTCAGGCGTGAGTTTTGAAAATAATACGTTGTCTTTCAAACAGAAGTGAACAGTGTTGTACTCAGACCCTGGATCCATTGAATGGAAATCCGGTGTCCAAGATAATAAGTCAACATCGCCACCGGAAATATTATTATTGTGATAAATATTTCTGAAATTCCGTTTATTAATCTGTAGTAGAAAGTGGTTATCTGTTTCCCGAGTAAATCAAGTACGCTACACTCAGAGTGAAAGCTTAGCAATACCAGTTAACAATACTGTAAGCTTGGTATGCAAGACACATTGATATGAAAAGATGCTTACCTAAAACCGATTGTTCTATGAATAAGATCATTATGAGAAATAAAATTGCTTCTTTACTTTATGAGTGTGCTTGTTTTCGATATTTTTGAAATATACCTAAAACGACACTGCCATATTTATGATTCAGCTCCTATTCATCAACGTTACCAGTCGTTCACAACTACATTAGAAGTATGCTCAACTATCTCCCGCTTCACCGTCTTATAATGACAACTACTGAACATCACGGACATATATATGCAGTATATATAAACAAAACATAAACCTCTCAAGACTTACAATAGTTACGACAGAACTTCCTGTTGTACTTGAACGGTGATCAGAATTACGAAAACCATTTCGCATCCGTGGCCGGCTCTGTGTACAAGGTGTACGGAAAGGAATTGGTTGGACATGTGTACGATAAGTTGTAACCTCTTGGCTTGTTTCAGCAAACTTTAGCACATGCTAAATAAAACCAAACACAGTGTGTTTCAGGAAACCATTTCTATTGTGAGTAACATATTATATTTTACAGAAACTATGAACAATCAAAATACAAGAAACATACCATGGTCTCTTCATACTCTTCTGGTGCCTGATGAACGCAAACAAGCATTGCAACACGTCCATCACCTTCAAAGAAGTTTTTAAACAAATATGTTAATCGAGCATCACGATAGGGAACAACGCGTGTGGGTCCACCGGGGGTATTAGGATTTCCACGATTTTTACCTCCATTTGTTTGCATATCACGTAAGGCTGTGATACATTTCCGAAGATTCATAAGGGAATTGTTAATTTTAGCTGAAAAGGTAGAATTAAAAAAGTTGTGTTAGAAAAAATCTCAAAAACAATGGATGAAAGTACTTCTTTTGAAACTCTACATGTCACATTTACTTAATAAACTCAATGACTGAGTTTCGATGTAGAACTATGTACAGAAGTGCAGCAATCCAAGTCAACATACTCCATGCGGCACATAAAGATGAAGAGCAAAGAGACTCAAAAGAACTATAATGACCAGTAGAGTGATGAAGAATAGTAACACAGAAAGCCATGATAGTTTAATGGATATAAGAGATCCCAAACAATAAATGCATCTGCACTAGCTACTTCAATTGACACTGCTTCACAACCTCATTGATTTAATTTCACGCTTTACTTAACACTACGCCTAAATAAACTGTCACTAAGCAAATTATACCACCTAACACGGGAGATAGGACGCCAACACCTATGGTCAAAAACGACTAGCTTCTTCATGTCCCTCACCTTGACTGACTGTCTCCCCAAGTCGTAAATAAATAGTGGATGAATCGCTTTGCAGTAGACAGGTCCCTTCCTCGATAGTCATATACCACATCTACACCAATTTCTACTTTACAAACGGCAACCCAATAACTCACAAGAAGAGCCGTGCATCAACTCCGTCCAAACACAGAGTAACTAACTGCAATACAAAGGGACTGAATTGGTCAGAAAGGCTTATCTATGTTGAACTTTTCAGTGGCTTATTTCTTCAAAGAATGCCATCTAAGATATCGACTGAAAGCTTTAGAGACCCAGTGGACAACTCCAGTAAATATAAAAATAGTGCTTCCTCATCGTCCATGAATTTCAAAACAATGAGCGGCTTCACAACTTCCTTTTATGATCATTTAGTCTTCTCAAGAGAAGATATGGTAATATTGATCTAACTTTTCACATACTCTAAACCTCAAAATCATTTTCCGCAATCTCAAACCTGATACAGCAAAACACTAGTTATTCGTTAATAAACATTTAGGTCTTTATGTTTTGCCATACTAGGCAAAAGTTGGCTAGTAGGAGGCGTTATTTCCATCAAAAATTTCGTCAGACCTATCACGATAACGAGACCAAATATTCAAGCAAAATGGCTGCTTTCAACATGCGCAATATAGAACCAGGTAAATAGAGGTGCGTGACTCGAGCGAATTTTGAGTTATGTGACAGAAATTGATCCTGATAGTGTGCGGCGTTAATATGCGTGCCGCATTCTTTATAACACAATAATAATACTGTGCAAACAGTACAGTCAGGAAGCCATCCTGAATTAATGGCGCAGGACATTCAGGAGATAACTAAAATTTCTATACTTGCAACTCCTACGGTTTCTCTAAAACAACTCTGCTTAACGAAGCATCTGAATTCAAAGTAAACACGAGCTAGGAATGAATGAATAATTTCCGTGTCTTTACACTGTTATCGACTGGAAACCATAGCTTAAAATTCCACTACTTGGCAAATCAAGATGAGATCCCACGTGAGTGGGTTATACAAAATGTTTAAAACTATTCGGTTCCAACCGCCTGAGGAACCTTTGTCCGCCAGACAGTCGTCTTATACGAACTTCAAACCAACAGCTTGACAAAATAAACGGTGTGCCTTACTTACGCACCTACCTCATGCTAACCTCACTTTAAAATAAAAGGATGCATTCAACAGACATTTCAACCACTTCCCATAATCATAAATTTAGTCGTTTATTCAAGCACCGGCGACTTATTTACCGTCACTTTTTCGTGTTCTTCACTATCAACAACCATTCATGACCAAAATGATACAAATTATTCTCGATAACAGGACTCAATCCTTAAAAGGTAAATTTACGTCATTTGTACGACACAGCTAGTGGGAATTACAATCATAAACACTTTGTTGAATTTTTTCTACCAATCTCTCCTGAAGTATTTTCCTTGGCATGATAAAGTTCATACTAAAAGAAAAAACAGTCTAACTTACATGCTTCTTTCAAGCGATCTCCTTGCGTCCCAGTACGACTACTTCGTTCTGAACCAGCGAGGTCAACGAGGCACAACTGACTGATGACGATAGACCCTTTATCCTGTTGAATAAACCCAAACACTGGTGTAACTAAGTAACTGAATACACTCAACAAACGCATACATATTCATGTTAGCAATTAACATGGTGTTTAAAAGAATAAAGATTGTTGAAGCATAACAACACACTATACAGGTCAGTTTCAAGTGACACGGTGATTCAGTGTAATAAAAGGAAATTAAAAGTGAAGGGTAAGTGACACGTGAAATAAGACAGAAACCAATGAATTTATATACAATAAACAACGGAAGCGCATGTATATTATTACCGATCAAGTCCACCAACCCTCCAAGTGAACATCGAGGAGACAGAGGTGATGAAGATACGTAACCAGCACCACGACGAGCAACAGCAACAAGCACTAATCACTATCGATGGGAGAAATCTAAAGGAAGTTACCTCTTTCACCTATCTACACAGCATCGTTGCAACCCTAGACGGGACGGATGACGCCAAAGTCGCAACCAGAAAGGGAAGATAGACCTTCATTATTTTGAAATCAGTCTGGAAGTCGACAGCATTCAGCACAAAGAACAAGACTTGGATCCTCAACACTCCAAGCTGCTACTCATCGGGAAACCATACACTAACGGTACAGGGACAGAATGACTGCGGCATAGACAAGCACATGTATCACGCAGAAGATTAGATAAAAATTAGTATGGCTTTTCATGATCTGAAAGATAACAAAGACCTAATATACCTGTACAGTTTACAATCTGTCTGGGGACAGAGGTTCCATATGGGACACTATCACTTCTTCAATGTAGTCTACTGGCCTAAACTACAATCCTTTCCGAGAAACTGTAGCCTGACATCAACAATGTTCTCCTCAGGTATACACTAACAGACACGATGTTAAGAAACCAGATGTTGATACAAGATGGCGTGCAATCGGAAAGCTTAAGGCAGACAGTAAAAGTTTTCGAAATGTTCCGCACCCTTATCTATTAAGAGAATTTGGTACGAATTCATCATCCCAGAAGCTCATCGCTAAAACGAGTTTACGACTGACAAATTCAAATCAAAGACTATGTGCTACCCAGACAGTGAGTTAAGTTTATTGGGTGAGATCTAATACTATCAGTAAACGTAATCAGACTAAGCGTCCATAACTAGTGGTTGGAAAACTACTTAACCTGGCCAGACAATTCAAGGCTGAGTGTTGCATTGAGGTAAAAGGACTAGACAAGAGTTGCATAGTAACGAGAAACCTTAATATTTAAAGCGTGACAAAGATTAGAGATGTAACCGTAACACTTTCACTTCAAACTGAAACATAAGAGTTTAGTCCAGAAATGAACCTCGTCATACTATCAATTTATTCATACTAAGATGATTAGCAATCACCTTATTCGAAACTCAGTCAGTGACTGACTTCTGATGTTTAAAGCAACTTCACCTACAAAAATAACTTACCTACTTCTAATATTCCAAACTACTTTTTATAAAGTAGTAATTCTGGCCCTCTGGTGATATGAAAGAACACCTACAAATGGCAGCCATCATAATCACCGTCAAATGTTTACTTAACCTCAGACTCACATTAATAACTAGACGGAAACACGAAGCCTGCTAATCAATAACGTCGTTTTGCTTACCTGAACAGCCTCATTATACTTCACGTCATAACCAGTTCGAACCAACCGAATGGTGAAAACACAATGACTTCGACTGGATTCGACGTTAAGGGCCGTCTGTCCAATCCGACGGCGTTTCTGAGCTGAAAAAATAAATACGGGTTAAGCTGAGTAAATTATCTGTTCAGTGATTGTGCAGTAAACTATGTGCTGACCAGTAGCAAAAGTAAGTGAAAATATGAGCAAAGAAAAAACACGAGTAGTGTTTATAAAATACAAACCCTAATATATTGGTGAAATGGGAATACTGGAATTAAGCATATCTCACCTGTGCTAAAAACATCTAGAGCTTCTTCGGCTGACTTAACCTCTACCTCTACTCCTCCATGAACATACACATTTCTTCGAGAGTCTTCACGCAGTATTCGAGTTGTTAAATTTCTACAGGTTAAAGTGAAATGATAACATTTACCTTCCAGGGAGATCCGATACGTCTTGCAACAAATCATAAATATTGTTGTTGTAAACTTCAATAACAGACACAAATACAGCAAACAGAGCTTTCATAGGGACGTCTACACAAGACGACTCATAAGTCCTGTCACCCTTGTCTGCACATCTGACATCAGACCTACTAGGTAAGGTGAAAAAAGTTTTACCTTAACAATCGTGAACGCTCCTGCAAGTCAAAGCGGTGACGATCGATAAATGCGTCTGCTTCTGAGCGAACATTAAATCCGTTCATGCCGTCAGGTTTTACCACCTAAACCTATGCATTGAGCATAGAAATTACTTACGTATTTCTTCGTTTGACACTGTCCAATAGAATTAAAGATTACATCCAAGGAACGGGGTAAGATTCCAGGATTTTTTAAAGAGCCTTCCATTGAGTAGGTCTTTCCACTTCCAGTTACTCCATATGTAAACAATAAGCCTACGAATTAGGTCTAAATAATTTTGTCCCTACCATTTCTCCCCTGAAGAACGTCTGCAACAATCGGAAGCGCAACCTTCTGGAATACAGTCTCTTGTTCAGCGTCAGGTGGTAAGACTAAAGTGAATACATGTAAAGTCTATACAGAAGCTGAATGGTTAATTTGAAACCATACCTCTCTCCTTGTACCAGCGCGATAACCCACAGACTTTATAGTTTTCTCGTCACGGAACTCAATGCATGGCGTACCCGCAGAAAGAAAAGGTTTCACACGACAAAAAACCTCAACGTTCTGAGTTTCCTGATTATTTAACTCCCCCATAACTCAAGGGGGAATAAGGAGTAGAAAACAAACCAAGTGGGCGCCAATACGTTGGAGAAGCAGTACGCAGCACAATAAAACAAATTCTCAGATATCAGTTTCCGACTTCCTGGTGTAGGAGCGAATGCTTACTGACATTGGAAAGCTTTACTGGATTCATTTTTGTTCGTTTGTCTCTCCTTTCAATGTGCTTTTGAAGGTGTAGATATCTTATTGGAGTAGCTCACGCGATTTAATTATTGGCTGGCAGAACCAGTACTACATCTGGATACAGTTCGCTCCTACTTTTTGAACTCTCCTGATGTTTTCTATATGATGTCTCAACATGGTGAAAATTTAAGGTGAAAATAAATCAGTACTGTGGTCGTCTCTTACGATTCATATGTGAGCAGGGATATAATTTCGGAAATTTATCATCATGTATGTCAGTGTGTCATATCACCGAAACCTGCCTCCAGTGGAATTTGATAAGTTTTCTCCGTTGAGTAGGTTGTAGCCAAGGAATAGAAAATGCATTTGACAAAATTATTTCGTGTTTTCAAAATATTCTGAATATTTCAGGAGAAAACTAACCACTATAAGTTGCGTGCATAAAATGTTTCATGTGTGAATGTTTCAGAGTAAACTGGACTACATATGTGCACATGATATTAATGGAGAATTTCGCTATGTGCTAGGAACGTCGTTCAGTTACTAATACTGTATCACTGCATGTTATATCCAATTATTATTATTATTATTGTTCCCTTGGGTTCCTAGTGGAACATAGGGCTTCAACTGCACGTCTCCACTTGCTTCTGTCTTCTGCTGTTCTTTTCACTTGCGTCCATGTTATTCCATACTGTTTCATCTCCTCCTCACACGATCTCCTCCATGTCACCCTTGGACGTCCCACTCGCCGCTTCCCTTTCGGGTTCCACTCGAGGGCCTGACGCGCGATGTCACTCAACGGCCTCCTCAGCGAGTGTCCAATCCATCTCCACTTCCTCCTGCATATTTGTTGGGCGATTGGTTCCTGTTTCGTTTGTTCCCACAGCTTCTTGTTTGTGATTCTTTCCGGCCATCTAATCTTCAGTATGGAGCGAAGACAGTTGTTGATAAAGGTCTGCAACCTGTTGAAAATATTCTTGGTGACCCGCCAAGTTTCTGATCCGTAAAGCAAAATTGACTTCACGTTTGTATTGAAAATCCTAATTTTGTTGTTGATGGTGAGTGACGAAGATTTCCAGATTGGTTTCAGGTTGATGAATGTGTTTCTCGCCTTCCCGATTCTCGATTTGACATCCTCGTCCGTTCCTCCTGTGGTTGAGACAATGCTCCCCAGATAAGTGAAAGAAGTAACCTCTTTCAAATCCCTCCCGTTGATGGTGATTGGCACTGGATGTTGCTGCTGTTGTTGTTGTTGGTTGGTTATTTTCATAACCTCCGTCTTGTCTATGTTCACCTGCAGTCCTGTCTTAGCTGCTTCTTCGACCAATTTGTCGGTTTTTGCTTGTAAGTCTTCGATTTTGTGTGACATCAAGCATAAATCATCTGCGAAATCCAGGTCTTCTAGGTTCTTCACGTCGGTCCAGGATATCCCTGTCTTCTCGTTTCCCACTGTCTGACGCATAATCCAGTCCACCACAATTAGGAATATCATTGGTGATAATAAGCACCCTTGTCTGACTCCTGTGTTTACTCCAAACGCTTCGCTGAGTTTTCCGTTGTGGATCACTTGACATGTGCCGTTGTCGTACAGCTGTTGAATAAGGTTGATGAATATTTGGGGTACGCCGTAGTACTCGAGTAGTTTCCAAATTACTTCGCGGTCAACGCTGTCGAAGGCCTTCTCAAAGTCTATGAAGTTGAGGTAGAGATTTGATTGCCATTCCATGCTTTGTTCGATGATAATGCGTAGAGTTGCAATTTGGTCAGAACATGATTTGCCTTTCCTGAATCCAGCTTGTTCTGGTCGGAGTTCTGTATCCAGTGCGTCCTTGATTCTCTCCAGGATGATGCGACTCAGGATTTTACTTGGCGTCGACAGGAGCATGATTCCTCGCCAGTTCTTGCAGAGTCCTAGGTCGCCCTTCTTTGGTAGTTTCACCAGGTAACCTTTCCTCCAGTCAGTAGGCACCTTTCCCTCTTTCCAGATCTTTTGCAATAATGGAGTCAGCATATCTGCCGTCGTTTCTGGGTCCGCTTTCAGTGCTTCCGGGGGTATTCCATCTGGTCCAGCTGCTTTTCCAGCTTTCAGAAGCTTGATTGCATTCATGACTTCAGTTTTCGTTGGAGGATTGGTGTCAACTTGCAGTTGTGTACGTGCTGTTGTTGGTATTACTGGACGGGTTGTAGGTGGTGGTCGATTCAAGAGTCCTTTGAAGTGGTCCGCCCATTGTTTGATCTGTCTTTCTTCTTTGGTAATTGGGTTCCCTTGGCTGTCTTTGATAGGTTTCACTTGTGTTGATCTCTTCCCGGATAGAGACTTGGTTATCTGATATAGTGTCCTCAGGTCCCTTTTGCCTGCTGCCTTCTCAGCTTCAGTAGCCAGGTTGTCGTAGAATTGTCTTTTGTCCTTCCTGGCACTCTTCTTCACTTCTTTGTCCAGTGCTGTGTAAGTTGAGTTCAGCGTCTCTTTCTCTTGTCCATCTTTGCATTGAATCATTTTTTCTTTCACCTTTCTCCTCTCCTCTATTAGCTTCCAAGTGTCCGCTGAGAGCCATTCCTTGTCTTGTTTCTTCTTTCTTCCTAAAACCGTTGAGCACGTTTCGTTGAAAATTACCTTCAGAGAGTTCCAATGGTCTTCCACGGATGATTCCTCAGTGGTGCCACGTAGTGTTTCCTGCTTTGCTCTAACAGTTGCAGTGAAAATGTCCTGTGTGATTGTGTCCTTCAGTTTGTGAGTGTTGAACTTGCATTGTGGCCTATCCCCAGGTATCCTCGAGGCTTTCAGCTTCACCTTGAAAGTCCCTTGTACTAGATAGTGGTCTGAACCCACATCTGCTCCTCTCCTCGATCTTGTGTCCAGTAGGCTCCGTCTCCACTTCCTTGAGATTGAAATGAAGTCTATCTGGTTTTTGGTGTGTCCATCTGGTGAAATCCATGTTGCCTTGTGTATATCCCTGTGTTTGAACACACTGCCACCAATCACCAAATCATTGAAGGCGCAGAAGTCTGAGAAGAGTTCGCCATTTTCGTTCATTTCACCGAGGGCCTCCCGACCCATGGTGAGTTCTCTTCCTGTATTGTCTCCTCCCAGTTTCGCATTCATGTCGCCCATCAGGATTTTGATATCGCTCTTTGGGACGTTGTCCATTACTGTTTGTAGTTGACTGTAGAAGTCCTCCTTCTTCTCATGTTCTGAGGCGTTTGTAGGCGCGTAGCACTGAATGATTGTAACCTTTTTTCCTTTTGAGTTGAACCTGGCTGTCATTATCCTGGAGGAGATTGGTTCCCACTGCATGAGAGCTTTAGCCGCTGTTGGTGACATCATGATGGCTACTCCCTCGGTGTGCTCGTGATTGTCCTCTGGGTGACCGGAGTAGATTATTGTCTCTCCAGTTGATAGTTGGCTCCTTCCACATCCGTTCCATCTGCTCTCGCAGATTCCCAACACTTCTATTCTATATCTCCTCATTTCTGCGGCTACCTGAGCAGCCTTTCCAGCTTCGTACATTGTACGAACATTCCACGTCCCCATCCTTATTTTCGCTTTCATCGAAAGAAGGCACATCGGCTGACTGGCTTCCCGAAGGCTTTCACCAGCCCGCGTCATTTCACTTCCCCGATTCCAGCGAAAAATAAGGTCACTATTTGTAATTTTAGAATTTTGAATATATTTGTGCGTTGAAGTTTTAGTAGCAATTTGGTAAGTTTTGGGGGTGGAGTTGCTAGCACCACGCCCCAACCCTCCCTCTTTATCCGGGCTTGGGACCGGCTAGAATACTAGTGACCTAGTAATCTAGGCGAGGTTATATCCAATAGACTTATCTAATATAGAGCTCAATTCATAATCTAGCAGATTCCAGTATCCAATATCGTTTTTACGAGCTAGTATAAACCAATTTGATTTCTTTGTGCTCGCCTCTTGATTGTGAGGTATAGGTTCCCGATCTTTAGTAAACGCCTGCGTAGCTCGTCCCGCCACTCGACTGTCACAGCTTTGGTTGACTCCAAGAGGAGTAATGCTGGAATTAATTATATGTGGTTTGTAGTATGAGATGTGTTGAGATTGTTACTACTGTGAATGGAGTTGATCCTTTCACCAATTAGTCCTCCGAGATCATCGTCAAAAGAAAAAAGATAATAATAGATATAGTTAGTGAAGTTATTCAGACTAACAGACAGAAAAAGAAATAAAGAAAACGTAACAACAGTCAGCTGATTAAATTTGAAGTTGATATATATATATATGCATACATATGTATACATATCTGTGATAATAATAACAAGTGTAGTGAGAGTTGTCAGGAGAGTAAGACGGGAGAGAATGTAAAGAAGTAAAATG